CCGCCCCGCCCCGCCCCCTCACCTATCAGATTCCCCGTGCGCAGCGCGGCGCTGCTCCCACCTCCGAAGCGCGGGGCCGCGCCAGACCCCTCCAGGCCTGGGCCAGCTCGGGAGGACCGGCCGCGCGCCCCCTCCTCCGCGGCCGGGATGCGGCTCTGAGCTCCGGCCGCCTGCAGCCCGGGTGGGCCGCGCAGGACGCTCGCGCTCGGTAAGGGCCGGGCGGGGGCGGCGCGGGGGCTCGGGGCACGGGGCAGGTGAGGGCTGCGCCGGGGACTCCGCACTGCGGGCTCGCTGCCCGCCCCCTGCCTCCTAGTTTAAGCCGAAGATGGTTACAGGCCGGATGGCCTCGAACTCGTGCAGCAGCGTATCCGTGGGCAAAGTCTCGCTGCTCCTCACCCCCGCGGGAGGGCGGCCGCGTAGGGTCAGGCCAGAGGAGACGTCGCTCAGTTCAGAAGAATAACTACATCTTGAGAAGAAAATCCGCCCGGGAGGGAGCAGAGTGTGGCGGGGCGGGGCTGGGCTGCGAGGGGCAAATCCACCTCACTTCGGGGACGCCGGGTGTCGCCTGTGTCCGAGGGACCTGCAGGAAGGAGGCTCCTAGGTCATTTAGCTCTAAAAAGGCAGGTGCCTTAATTTGGTCATCCGCTTATTATTACAATATAATTATTATTTTTACCATTTCTCTATGCACGCACATTCTGCTATAATATGCATAGTATATGTGGTCCAAGTATTTGTATTCCAGTGATTTTTTTCCCCGCGTCCTGTTTCTGTTTCACTTTTTTGTTTAGATTTTTAACTTTTCATGCATAAATTTGGCTTCCAAATAATAGAAAACTGAGTAAAACAATTTTTTACCCTTCCTTTAGATGAGCACGCCAAGCTTTAAAAAACATCTTTAAATGTATGCAGCACCCTTTTAAAATATTAACATTACCTCCCGTTTCCACATGTCTCACTGTTTCTGTCCTGGGTCAGAGAGATGGAGGAGGGGAATTTAGGGACCAGGGGTCTGTGTGGTGCGATCGCCTGCATGTGTTTGGGGTGTCCTGCTGATGGTGGTAAACCGTGCTGGTGGGGCCCATCCTTATATGCAGGGGTGGTGAACCTATGGCAGTTGTGCCCCAGCGGGCTGTTTGTAACATTGACAGCTCTGAAAGGTTCGCCATCGCTGCTTTATGTAATAAAGTATTTCAATTCAGTGATGGAGTCTTGTGCTGGGGATGTAGCCCAGTGGTTCAGCATTAGCCTGACCTTCGTAAGACCCTGGATTCGATGCCCTGCTCCAGAAAAGTGTTTCCTGTTTAAAACAGGTGCATGCAATAGGCAAACTGAGTTTCAAAGAGAAAGAGCATTTAACATCTTTCCTTTAAGGACTGGATTACATCTGTATTCAGGCCTGTTTTCTATCTTCTTTAATTTTTTTCTTGTCAATTCATCATACTTAGTTTTCTCCTTAAGGTAAATGAAAAAATAAGCACTCTTTGATGTTCAGGGAGCAGCCCCATGTGAGGCCCTTAGGGTTAACTCCTTCTGGGAGCATCTCGGAGCCTCTGTGCTCCCCCACGCTGTCAACTGAAAAACTTGACATAGGCAGTGCTATTTTTGCAGTGCTATCCAGACTCGACGTCCTTTCTTTCGCAGGATTTCTAGGTAGGTGCTTTGAACATGTAAGGGATCCTAGGACGCCCGTTGTTGAGGGTCCTGCATCCCTGCATGGCCAGGCGTCTCTGCATGGTGGTGATCCTCGTGAGGCTTGGGCAGGGCACTTGGGAGACAGCCCTCTTTACTGAGCCCCTGTCCGTGGCTGCAGGCACGGGGCAGTTGCAGCTCAGGCCAGTGCAGAGGGTAATGGGAGGGCTGCAGGGAGTCCACCTCCCCTTGCCCGGCCATGGACTTCGCCTTGGGCTATGGCTGGCCTCTCATACCTTGGGGAGCTCCTCGTGCCTCCTGTGCATTCTGGTCCTTTAGACAGGGCTTGTGATCAGGTTTCTACTAGGGTTTATACCACAACTGGATTCTGGTCCTGAATTTGGGCTCCAGCGGCTTTGAAAACTGTCAGTCTTTGGGCCTCGCTCCTGGCCCACCCTGGACCTTTGTCCGTGGCTCCCACTCCTGCTTCTTTCCCGGCCCTCCTGATTCCAGTCTCCTTTTGCTTGTGCTGGGCTGAGGATGGGGCCCCACCAGGCTTTGGGGCTGGCTCCCCGTGGGTTCAGACAACGCTTTTCTTCCCGTGGAAGCAGGGAAATACCTGAGCTCATGTCTGAAGACACTAAGTGAAGAGGTGGATAAAATGGATTACAGGGATTTTGAAAAATCAACCTGGCATTTATTTGAAAACTGTGATGAGGGGATAAGGGTTTCATGCAATGAGACTCTGATAAATGAATCAATCATGTTTTGTTTTTGGTAGTTCTGGAAATTGAACCCAGGATTTTTGCCTTGAGCTACACCCCCAGGCCCTTTTAAATTTTTTTTATTTTGAGACATGGTCTCACTGAGTCATTTGTCCAGGATGTGCTTTGGAATCCTCCTGCCCCAGCCTCCCAGAATGCTTGGATTACCAATGTATGCCATCATGCCTGGCTCAACCAGGATTTTTATGTCTAACTTGAGTATCATCTCACATCCTCAATGGAAGACAAAGAGCTAGAAGTCATTTGGGACCCAGCTGGGTGAATAAAGTAGCTGGTCATTAATTTTCCCCCGTTCTGTAAATATTCACAAAGAGATGAGGAGCTAGGGCCAGATCCCTGGGTCCAAATTTCAGCTCTGCTAGGTTCTTGTTTTGTGACACGGGGGAAGTTACTTAATTTCTCTGTGCCTCTGTTTCCTCCACTGAAACCAGAGCTATAAAGGCACTTGTTTCATGCGGAGTGGGTACACAGATGGATGAAATGGTTTCGAGGATGTGAAGCCAGGGGTGTGATGTAAACATTCTGTAAGTTACAGTTACTATTGAGGTTATTATTACTGGCTTGTTAGGGGCCAAACACTGTACAGTGTTGAATAGTATTGTTTTGAATTAAGGAATGAGGCATGGAAATAAGGAGAAAACTAGTTTTACTGAGTTTCAAAAGATATCTTTAAAAAATTTTTAGTTGTTATTAGTCCATGTTTGCAGCACACAGTGATTGCACTCATGGTGGGGAGTTGGTACAAGTGCATAACGCATCTTCATTCTTTTTATGTCCTCCACTCGTCCCCTCCTTGTCTTGGCCCCCTCCCCTTTTGCAAAAGGTCTGTCTCCCTGTTTCCTATGGTCTATCTTTCATTTGGCTCTTGATTTAGACTTTGGGTTTCTCCCATGAGAGAAACCACGCAGTGTTTAAAATGTGTCTGATTTACTTCACTTAGCATGGTGGTCTCAAGGTGCATCCATTTTCCCACAAATGACTCAAGTGTATCCTTCCTTATAGCAAAGTAATAACTCAGTTTTAAAAGTCGTTGCCAAAAAGGTGGGTCACCATCTTGAATCCTGAATCACTGATGGCCTCTCATCCTGTCAGATGTCACTTGCCCATAAAAGTTACATGGGGCCGCCCATGTCCCCAGCTGCTGTTCACCAGACTGTGGCTTCCACTCTGTCACCCACGGGTGCTGCAGTCTGGCTCCATCTGGCCTGGACATCATGTTGTCACTCCACATGACTGGAGCTCATGCTGGTCTCATTAGAATGATAAGGACGGGCCCATCAGCAGGTGACATGGCCATGCCTGAATTTGGGAAGGAAATGGTGGACCTGATTTTGGGGAATCTCCCCCTTCCCCTGGAAAGCTCTGAGGACAGAAGGCAGGCCACCCACTCTCACCCCACCCCAGTGACTACCCAGACCCCCAACCTGCCAGGGAGAAAGTACCTTAGAATCTCGAGCTCCTGTTCTCCATTCATTGGCTACTAAATTAGATTTCCTGCCCGCTCCTAGAACTGATGGTTTGTGAAGAGTTTCGATTCAGAAGAAACCCAAGCAAACAAAAACAACCCTGCAAATATGGTAACAGGTATGTCAGAAATATTTTCAGCCACAGTAGCATCCTTGGAATAAGCAGGCAGCATGCTTGCTGTCTCAGTTTCGGTGTGTTTTCTTGTCACCTCAGGTCTCTATAATTATCCGGAGCCATTCTCCAGAGTTACTATTTAAGTTTACCACCTGGTCCATTCTGCTTCTTGGTGCTTCCCATTTATTTATTCATTGCGTAGAGGTGTTGGGTTCCCCTGTGTTTTCTGAACTTGGCAAGTTCCCTTTCAAATCTCATTCTATCTCGATGCTGCGCCACGCGTCCCTTCTTGTTTTGCTGATTTTGTCTTAATTTCTTGCGGCACAAATCATTTATTGTGAATGCCTTTGATGAGCTTTTGAGAGTCTGTTTTCTTTCAGACTAGCTTCTTTCTGGCTTTTGCACAGTTCCTTCTCCTTCCTTCACTTTTCTGTGGTATTTATGTGCATTTACTGTCATTTCTTTCTGTGTCAAGCATGTCTAACAAGAGCACGTTCAGCTCTACCTTCACATATAATTCAGTTGTCCTTTCTTGCGTCTCTTCTTTTGTGGATTTTATTGTTTCTTTCTTCCCAGAGCTGCAGTTGTGTACTGGATTTCACAATTAATCTGCTTTTCTGTAGCTGGAGGGTATGGAGGAGGGGGAGGTGCGGTAGGCAGTGTGGATAAGGATGATTAGTGGATTTAGTTTCTTTTTTCCCTGTAATTTTATTATAAGTTGCTTTCAAGGTACACTCAGGTTTCAGAATGCCCCCAAATTCAGGGTGTAGCTTGGAAGCATGTAAAATTGTATTTTCAGTTATAAGTCATTGCAACCTGTGGGAGAATCCGAGAACAACAGATAAGCCATTTGTGAGCCCATCCCGGCTCCAAAGGTTCCTACATTTTGCCACATTTGATTCTGATTTCAAAGCTGAGGCGATGTCAAAGCCTTTTCCATGCCTGCTCCACACCCTCCCTCACCCTTGTCCCCTCCTGTCACCCTCTCACTATCCTGATTGCCGCTGTTCTTTCCCATACATGTTTCCACCTCACTGCATGTGAATCTCTGGTTAATCATGCTGTTATTTTCTGTTTTCCAAGCTTTCTCAAATGGTTTCATTCCATCACATTATACGGCTGCTCTTTCCAAGTTTTGTGGCTTTGGAATTTATCCAAGATGGGATGCTGTGCTAGTTCCTTTGCTTTCATTGCTGTATAATATTGTGTT